TATATATATATATATATGATAAATAAAAACTTTTTTTCAAACTACACATGAAACATATATAAGGAAGTTTTTTCCCTCAGTAAATATATAAATAAGTTTTGTTAAGACATATTTTTCAGATGTCTTTTCGTGGGTTGTTGAGATGGAAAAAAAAAATTGAATCTGGAGAGGACTAACAATAATTAATTATGAAATTGGGGTCTATTTCTCTTAGTCAAAATTTGAAAAAACAAAATAAAAAGTTGAATATTTCATCCCCTTCTTTTTCTTTTTTAAAATTTTGGGGATTTAGGAGAAATGAAAAGGGATGGTCTGTCTTTAGCCCAACAAGTTAAGGATACGTCCCCTTCAAACTATCATCAAGTTATATATGTCATTATTGGCCTAATTAATCAGTCATGTAACGAATTTTTAACAAATAGTTTGAAGTTGACCCTTTGATCGAAAAAAAGGGAATTCATGGAGAGAATTGCGATTTTAAAAACATTAAAAAAAATTATAACGAAAACTGAAAACTAAGGTATCGTGTTTTTCCTTAACCTAGACTTATTCCAAATTTCCAAGAAAATCTAAGTTTCAGATTTTCAGAATTTTTTTTTTCTCGACAACGATTTTGAAAAAATATATATATAAATACACACACACACATATATATATATATAAGATCAATATTAACATAAACATTTAAAAAGGGGATTCGATCTCAATTCTATAACTTTTTTTTTTGGTGTAACATATAAATACGTGTGGACATATAGCTCCACTTACAAAATTGAACCTTACAATATCTCGTACAAGATATTCTTACAAAAGTCTGTGTACAAACAAGGTAATGGGGCCAATACAAAAAAGCGTTGAGCAACTTAAAAAATTACACGTTTTATTTTATTTTTTATATTTTGGCAATTTTATATTTATCTAAACATTCATTGGATAAAATAAAGGGGGCAACTGAGAAAAGGAGGTCATGCAGACGTGTTATTGGAAATTGGATTCCATAATTTCACGATCGAGACTGACATGTAAATGTAATATGGGACACGTATTATAACAGCATAATTCAATATTATAAATGATTATGGAATGATATCATAATAACGTAGAATAATACGACAAACGAGGAAAAGATATCACTGACATTTAAAAAAAAATATTCGCCGCTGAGATTATTCAAGAAAAAAAGGCTAACCAAAAATAAGATATCATTCTACATTTTGAGTATACAATATTATAAAATAATTCATTTTTTGCCTTTTACTTAAAAAAAAGAATTTGGAATTAAAAAACATAAAACTTTGCATGATTTTCTTAATAGAAGAAGTGTGAAATTCTTAAATAACATTTTCATACCTGTATGGTTTTGTACCGAATATAAGATATGCGTGTGTGTATATATATTGGTAAAGAAGATGTGCGTTTTGTTAAAAACTGATTAATAATAATGATATAATAATTAGAAAATAAAATGACGAGGCATGTGGTACGGCCGACATGAAATGAGAAACAAAAGGGATCGTGGTGTCCCAAATTCGGCCGCAATTACCAAAACTACGTAAAAAAGCATCATTGTATTAGCTGTTTCCACGTGACATTTTCTTTTTTGTCCGCTGCTGTTCAATTTGAAAGTTTTCCATAAATTATATTTCCACGTCATATTTTTTAAGCATACGATAAAAATCCTTTTAGATACCCGAGATACACGTATCTATACGACAAAGATATTCATTCACTAAACTACATTTATTCAGTTTTGTTAATGGCCTCTTTTGATATTTATGGATATTTATATATCTTAATTATTCAATTTACATCGAATTTTCGAGTTTTGTTTAATTCTAAGTTTATCTCAATATTAGCTAGGTTCATCGAGTGGATGGAAGACATACGTATGTACATATATATATATATACTGCTTGCACATACGTACTCTTTATATACGCAGATTGGAATATAAAATAGATAATTGGTTTAGTCCGATTAATTTTGATTTTTAATTCTATGTAGATATACGCACAAACACATAGGATGGGGACAGAAACGTAAGGAAGGAAAAGGAAATAATAAAATAAAGGAACGCACAAAATGCTAAGGGGATTTGTTAAATAGATAATAAAAGATGTGACGAGGACAGTCCATATCATTCACGCACTATAAGATTCCAAATTCCTTGTTATTTTATTTCTAAATTCTATTATATATATATATATATATATATATATATAAAGGTTGTTTCCTAACCGGATAATGCATATATATTAATTATATTACAAGTACAATAATACGAAAAATAGTAGGTAGCATAATCCTTTGCATATGATAAGGGATATGCAATAATATATATATTCTCTAGTGGATTACTAATCAAATGGCTTTAATCATTTTCCAGATTTAAGAAAGATTTTGCTTGAAGATAACATAAATAGATGTCCACTTGACATGTGACATGACCAACATGATGGAGATTATGAGATCAGAACAAATCATGTCTGCTCTTCGATTTTTATTTTTCCTTTTAAAGACTTTCGGTTCCCTCAATCTCTCTCTCTCTCTCTCTCTCTATATATATATATATATATTATATGTTAGTCATAAAAATTCAAACATTATTTTAACACTTAGTTTATGTGATAAATAACTAAAACATAATAATGTATGGGAAAATATCGTAGTCATGTTTAAATTTTCAAAAAAATAATAATAATCATGGCCACTGTATTTGGTGTTTCTATTTATATTTGTATGTCTAATTTTTCGACAACGTATTACTTATTCAAGTAAACAGTTTTATTCAAAACCTACATGTATATAGCATAGCTGTGCAAATATATAAATGTGAATCAATATGTGGATCTTTTTAAGATCTTCAAACAAGTAAATTTCCATTTCAAGCTATTTTAACTTCCATATATTCGGTGTTCTTCTAACCACTTTGTATACGTTCTTTTGTTGGTTCCATTATCTTCATACTTTATATATATATATATATTCAAGTAAATAAGTGATGATTGTAAAAGCTGAAGTGGACCATATATCCAATAAAATATAATATCTCTTTATACATTCATATATACATGCAACTAACACGAAATAATTGTTTTTTGTTATAGGATTCAAGTTCACCATACGTAAAGGTTTCTTAAGCACAATAGATATACGGAAAATACGTGTAAATAAATCATATAAAAGTCCATATGCGTTACTTTTTTTTGGTTGTACTATAAAAAAAAACACATAATTGGAGACATTAAAGAGAAAAAAACAAATCTAAAGGGAAAAAGGGAATGTGGACACTAGGGAGGAGGGCATAGAAAGTAATTTTACATGGTTCTAGGGGTATTTCAGACTTTCGAAAGTTTCAAGAAGTAGTTGACCTGTCTTTAAAGCCGAGCCGAACCGGGGGGGTTTAAGCGTTGACCAGTTGCGTTTGAAGTTTGGACCGAGCCGCACAACTTTCGCTTTCGCTGACTCCATAGAACTAATCATTGAACACACCGACCTAACCCTAACATATATATATATATTTTTTTTAAAATAAAAAAGAGAAATCGAGATTGGGCCAATGGTTTTTTCGGATAAAGGCTTTTACCGGAAACCGGTAAAACCCGGTTTATTCAAAAAACCGCGTGTTGTCCGATATAACAGATGCCACGTTGACATCCGATTACGGAACTCTCTCCACGTTTCGACTTCCCGTCGTTTTTCGCGTCATGGTCCGTCACGCTTTCCTCGAGAAGTTCGCCAAGCGTCACGTTATTCTTCCGAAATTACCAAAGTACCCCTATAAGACGGGGGTAGAAAATTGTCCGATGGTTAACCAGCTGATCTAACTAACCGGAAGGTAGTTGAACCGGATCCGGTACGATTTCTCAGATCTCCGTGTTTTTAGATTATCCGCGTCTCTCTGAACGGACACGACTGATTTTGACGCATCCACGGTTTGGGAGTCGTGGGTTTCAGCAAGACTCCCTAAACCGCCTTTCGTAATTTTCAAATGATTTTTTTCTTCTTCTTTTTTACTTTATTTCTCCACATTTTTATATCGAGTTTTCTTATACAAAACCATTTATTTATCTTTCATTAATAGTTTTTACTTATTTAAATAAATAATAACGTTAAAATAGTTTTAGTTTTGTTAGAAATGCTCTAATTTTAAAAAGGATGAACAAAAACAATACTTAAAAAATACCAAAAAATTACGTAATAACGCGGTTAAAAAATACAGCATTGAACAAAACTTGGTTGAACCACCTAACGACCACTACTTTCCTTCACACTTCTCTTCTTAAATTTTGTAAAACTTTATATAGTTTATGTATCCGTACAAATGAAATAATTATGTGTCTCAAAACATGTATTATGAACGTATAATTATTATTGTATAATTCAGCGCACTCAACTGTCATTTAATGAAATATAAATCTACAGTATGCAAAACAATCTATAATCTTGCGGTAATATTAATTTATCGTAGGATTATATAATGTAGTCAAGATGTATTATTTATATATTATTATTATTTATATTTCTTTTTTAATTAAGAACTTCGGAACCAACCCGACCCACCTTTATTTTTTTAATTAGAAGAAATAATTTAGAAACCGTTTTACTTTTTTTTGGGCTAAAATTACGGTGGTCAGTAAAGTATGAACATCTGGAGTATAAACGTATAAATGATCATTTTACTTGCGCTTTCTCGGTTTTCTAAGAGTCTTTCTCTCTCGGTCTACTTTTTTTCCCATCTACAGTTTCTTTCTCTTCTCCGCCGGGAAACCGCTTTCTCCGGCCGGATACCGCCATACGCCCTCATCAGTCTCCGTTTCTCGCCGTAAACAGCTTGTGCTTTATCTGGTGGATATTGTCAGGATTCTGATATCCGTTTGACTCGGTTGCGCGGCGACTCGGATCTCCGCGTTTGACTCGGTCTGCCTCGGTTGGCGGCAGTTTCTGAAAATGTGGTTTGCCGTGTTCGCCTGTCAGGCTATGGCTTGATTCCGCTGGTTGAGATCGTGATCTAGGGTTTCATATCTCCTGGATTTGGCCGGATTCTGCCGTTGTCCTTTGTTTGTCGCGGTCTGGTTTTCTCCGAGTTGAAGAAAACGGAGTCCTACAGAGATAGATTACGGAATGCCATGGTGAGTTGATGGCTTCTCGCATTTTCATTTTTTTTTTGAAAAAAGGTTTCGTGTTGTGAAATTTGTCTAACCGTGTTTTTGGTTGAAAATTTCACGAGCTTTGTTCTGTAATGATTTCGTGGTTCAGATCGCATGCATTATTATTTTGAATTGATCACTGTTGCGTTCCTTTGCGAGAATTTTAAAATGTATATTAATTTCGCTTCTGTAGTCTTAGAAAGCCTGCCAATGCCGGAGCATTAGCGCAACAGAGGCCAATTTCCGGCGGATTTGGAAATGCTTTACATAACCATCTTACATTTTTATGCTTCTTTTTTGTGGAATCTCATCTCTAGAGAGTTGACTTCTGTCTTCTTTTGGAATTCGACGAATCTCACTCGGTCAAAATTTGTGTTCTGGGGAAGATTGTCGATAGTCTTTGACTCGCGTTGTACGAGGGTGCCGAAATAGTGATTTCACATTTGTAGCATCGTTAAGGATTTGGTCGAACTGATAGGGAGAATATGTTGGAAGCCAATACGCCTATGCTTTTAAGGCAGTTGCAGTTGACTGTTTCGGTTTTCTGCATTCATTTTCTGATATTTACCTTTTCTTGGCTATCTGGTTACGTTTGAATCACTGACCTTGTATATCGATGACGCCAGCATATGTGGGATGTGAACTTTTGATCCCGCAGTCCTTTAGTCAAACTGGATTCTACCTTCCACTTCATGTTTCTGGAGTGTTGTCTAAATCCCTTTGTCTCCAGGTGGAAAGGAGGGTCTGCTTGTCCAAAGAGGCTGAGAATGGTCTAGAATATCTGAAACGTAAAAGGCTTCAGAGAATGAGATCAGAGTCTGGCAATGAAACAGTAGGTGTGACCAACATGATGACTAGGAGTGGAGGTGATTCACTGAGAGCATCAGCATCATGTGGTGTGAGATTACGGTCAAATGTTAACGATACAATCTCCAAACTGAATGGTGTATTGAAGCGCAAAGTGGAGAAGTTCGAAACAGATGATCTAAAATGGACCGAGAGACTTCCAGAGTGTCCTGTCTACAAACCAACCAAGGATGAGTTCGAGGATCCTTTGATTTATTTGCAGAAGATAGCACCAGAGGCTTCTAAATTTGGTATAACCGACTTCTACACTTCGGTTCAGAATAAGCAAGGACTAGTACTATCGGAGACTAAAAGATCACTTTTCCTTATTTATAGCTATCTGCATATGTTAGTTGCAAGATGCAGATTGTTATTAATTTTATGATTAAACATGTAGGATTGTGCTTCTGATAATGATAGCTGCTACCTTGAGGCCTTTGTGTAACTTAAATGATGTTGAATGGAACTCCTCTTTTATGCCCTCTATTTGTTGTCAGGTATTTGCAAGATCATTTCCCCTTTGATGGCAACAGTTCCTGCCGGAGTTGTCTTGATGAAAGAGAAAGTAAACTTTAAGTTTACAACCAGAGTACAACCTCTTCGACTCGCTGAGTGGGATTCTGAAGATAAAGTTACATTTTTCATGAGTGGGAGGTTTGTTATCCTACCTTGCAGAATTTAGTTTTATGACTTTGATCCATAGACCTCGGGTTTTGATGACATGTAACGACTCAGGAACTATACATTTCGTGATTTCGAGAAAATGGCAAACAAGGTATTTGCTCGTAGATACTGTAGTGGTGGTTCTCTTCCGGAAGTTTTCTTGGAAAAAGAATTTTGGAGGGAGATTGCTTGTGGCAAGACAGAAACAGTTGAATATGCATGTGACGTGGATGGTAGTGCATTCTCAACTTCGCCTAGTGATCCACTAGGAAGCAGCAACTGGAACTTGAAGGTATTGATCTGATACAGCTCCTCTCCTACCAGTTAAGCATCAAGGTAACTACTGCTAGGTTTCTGAAATATGTTAGTTATCTGCTTGCTCATTTATTTCAGAAAGTTTCGTGGCTGCCAAAGTCCACTCTGCGTCTTCTTGAGACATCTATTCCGGTATGTGACAAGACGGACAATCATTATGTTCTTCTACAATCCCATTGTAAGTATGTTCCTTTCTAACTTGGATTTGTTTGTTTCAGGGAGTCACTGAACCGATGCTGTACATAGGAATGCTGTTTAGTATGTTTGCTTGGCATGTTGAGGATCATTATTTGTACAGGTAACGACAGTCGAAAGTGAGTTTTTTAGGCTTGTACCTTGGATACATATATTTTCATGTGTTCAAGTAAAGTTGGACTCAGTGTCTTGATCTTCATTTTACCCTTTCCTCTTTCTAAAAAGCAGCATTAATTATCAACATTGTGGAGCATCAAAAACTTGGTATGGGATTCCAGGTTCTGCAGCTCTAAAATTTGAAAAGGTGGTCAGGGAGTGTGTGTACAGTGATGATATCTTGTCCACTACTGGAGAGGATGGAGCCTTTGATGTGCTTTTGGGGAAAACAACCCTATTCCCACCAAACATTCTCTTGGATCATGATGTGCCTGTTTACAGGACCATACAAAAGCCGGGGGAGTTTATTGTTACATTCCCTAGGGCATATCACGCTGGCTTCAGCCATGGTAAAACATTTTTTGTCTGCACCACGTCCAGATGACCAGATAGCTGCATCTGAATCATGATCACGTGTTAAAATGTTGTAGGCTTTAATTGTGGCGAGGCTGTGAATTTTGCGATGGGTGACTGGTTTCCTTTCGCAGCTATTGCCAGTAGCCGTTACGCTCACCTTAAGAGGGTGCCTCTGCTTCCTCACGAGGAATTGATTTGCAAAGAAGCAATGCTTTTATACACAAGTTCTGGACTCCAAGATTTGAATTTTTCGCCAGCAGACTTCTTGGCGCAGCACTGCATCAAGGTTGCATTTGTCAAACTGATACATTCCTTTCATTGGGCTTGTTGGTCTTTGATGAAATCAAGATCATGCACAGGCCTCGCTTCAAATACGCATGGTACCATCGTATGCAGTCTGTGTAAGCGGGATTGTTATTTGGCTTTTATCAATTGTGACTGTTATGCTCACCCTCTGTGTCTCCGCCACCAAGGTAAGCTTTATTCTGCACTCTCCACGCCTATCTTTTGTTAGTATATTTTTTAAAATCGTTGGTTGAACTGTTATATCTTATCCAGATATTAAAACGCTTGACCTCCCATGCGGGAGGACTCGCACCCTTCTCTTGAGGGAGGACATCGAAAACATGGAAGTTGCTGCCAAGAAGTTTGAGGAGGAAGATGGAGTATCAGATACGATTCAAGGGCAGTTGACGACAGACGAAGACTTGTATTCATACCCGATGTCAAAAACAGTTCCGTCCATTGGAGGAGATGGATACTCTCCTTATTCCACTATTGACTTTGACTTCACCCCTGAACTGGATGTCACATCTTGTGGCCAGACACAACATGGAAACCACCACCCTGTCTCGAGCCACGAAGCCGATGCCTCGTGTCTTTCCTCTGTTGTTGATGATTATGTAAGTTTGGAATATTTTCCATTATTTAATTTTTCATGAATAAGTTTTTCTTTTTGTTCTGAGAATGGTAGTGTTCTTTCGGGGCATAACACACTACATTGTTACCGTTTTGTATGAACCAGGTACAGGGCCGAGCTAACTTTGGCAGTACTGATTCCAAGCGGACGGAAGAAGTAACATTCCAAGAGGAGCTTCCAAATTCTCACCATGTCCCGAATGGTGGAACTTTGGTGGATCATGAAAGCGATGGTTCTGATTCCGAGATTTTCAGGGTCAAACGTCGTTCTTCTTTGAAGTTTGAGAACCAAACATTGATCCTTGATACGTTGTCAAGGAATTCTGAGCATCAGGTGAGGAGGACACATCACTTGTTCATTATATACAGTTGGAAACTGGTCGAAAAACCGGTTTTGTTTTCTGATCAGAATTCTTCTTAGTATCTTTACCCACATTTATATGACCTTAGTCATCGATAAGATGAGTATGTAAGCGATCAAACAAAGGATAAATGACATTTATATTGTTCTATAGTGGAAAAGCCCATCAAATCTGCTCTGATGTTAACATGAAACAGGGGCTTAAACGGCTGAAGAAATCCCAACATGAAGGAAGACGCAGCCAAGCTGCTGGATGGTCTGAGGCTGAATATGATCCCGGCCCCATCTCAGAAGACCGAAAAGGAATGTTGTGGCAAAGTCTTTCAGACAACAGACGCATGAGGGTGAAGGTCAAGAAGAGGTGGAAATCATAATGAAACCAGCGGCAGAGCAATGAAACAACACAGTCATTCAGGAGAGGATAAAAGGGTTCCATCGGAATAGCAGATTCCCTTTGACTACATTTTTTGTTTTCTTCTTCTTCTTGCTAACAGGAAGTTTGATTCCACCCATAAGGAATGGGAGTGGCTCTAAGACCACAGGAAGATGATGCGGAAAGCAACAACGACAGCTCCTCTTCTTCTTCTTTTACTCTCTGAGATGTAAGAAAAAGAAAGATAACACAGGGAACACAAATCTTTGATTCTTTGTGCAGGGATGTCCAAAAATCTAGGAGGCAACCCGCACCTACTTAGGTAACATCTTCTTCTCTGCCTTTTTTTTCTAATAACATTTGACCTAGTTGCCAATTGTGTGGGGGAGAGAGTAGTAGGGTTTTTGAGCCAAGTTCTATGGGGGGGGGGGGGATT